TGGGCCGAAACTGTTCATGAGGCTGTCATCTGAGAGTCCATAGAAAGGCCACAGGTGGTGATTTTCCTGAGAGCTCCAAGAGAACAGCATCCTGAAAAAAAAAAAAAAAGGAGCGAGAGAGACATGAATGAGCGTTAGGCAAATGCACGGAATTCTCGTGTTAAGAGGGACGCTGTTGACTCTGGAAGGTGTTTCTAACCGCCCCCCGCCACCGCGAGGGCTGCTGGCTGCACCCAGTCCGCACTCATCGCTGTGGATGTGCTCTCCCTGCCTGGGGAAGGTTCCCCAAGATCTGAGCCACGAGAGCCACAGCCGCCTCCAGCACACTGGGTCGGCACTTCTTGCCCTGCAGTGCCTGGCACACAGTAGGTTCTTAGAAGTTTATTGTCTGATTAACACGATACCCGTTTCCAGTCCAACGTGGAGCACCTGACGGAGAAAATGAAGACCACCATCCAGAGGGGCCTTGTGCTCAGGTGAGTGAGACCAGGGCTGACCTCGCCCACACCGCCACACCCTGGCTCCTAGGCTCCTCGGCTGTGACGCAGGCTGGAGGAGGGGTCGTTTCTTTGCTGCCAATCCGGAAGACTCATGGTGCCTTGCTCTAAATACTTGCCTGCCTTTAGACAACTAAAGGGTGATTTTAAACATGTATTTTTGCTTTGTAGTCTTACTGTTTTCGATAAGTCACAATCATTTCCCTAATTAGCACCTGACATTAATGAAGGAAGGAGGAAATGCAGTCAGGGAATGTGTCCCAAGACCCCAGTGGGTGCCTGAGCCCGGGGCTAGTGCCTGCCCCCCGTATACACGAGGGTTCTTCCACCTCATACCCAAGGCGGCTACTGACTTGGGCAGGAGGCACAGTCAGCGTGGAGACGGAGGACACCGGGAAGATTCACGCACTGGGTGGGACAGAGCAAGACAGCACGAGATTTCATCATACTACTCAGAATGGCATGCAGTTTAAAACTTGCATATTTATTTCTGGAGTTTTCCATTTAATATTTTTGGACTTTAGTGGAACACTTGACCATGGGAACTGAAACTGCAGAAAGCAAAGCCTTGGACTGGAGGGACGATGTATAGTCACAGTAGGGCCAGGGGACACAGGAGGCCAGGCTGCCAGGGCCATCCCCCCACCAGCAGGGAGCTGCATGCCCAGTGCACGCTTAACAAATGGCTCCTTCCCACTCGTTTCAGAAATGAGAGCTGCAGCGAAAACTACACCACCGACTTCATTTACCAGCTCTATTCGGAAGAGGGCAAAGGGGTGTTTGACTGCAGGAAGAATGTGCTGGGCCATATGCAGCAGGTGAGCCCGAGACCCCAGTGAGGGGCCTGCAAAGCCACTGTCACGTCATTTTTACAAGCTTAATGTCTTATTTTAGCCATTTTTGGGGGGAAAACATGTATCTACAAGTAAATTTCGAGATAAAAATCAGCTGAACTTTTTGAGATGGAGTCCCAGTCACCCAGGCTGGAGTGCAGTGGTGCAATCTTGGCTCACTGCAGCCTCCACTTTCCAGGTTCAAGCAATTCTCCTGCCTCAGCCTCCCAAGTAGCTGGGAGTACAGGCACTTGCCGCCATGCCCGGCTAGTTTTTGTATTTTTAGTAGAGATAGCGTTTCACCATGTTAGCGAGTCTGGTCTCGAACTCCTCACCTCAGGTGATTCACCTGCCTCGGTTTCCCAAAGTGCTGGGATTACAGGTGTGAGCCATCGTGCCCTGCCAATACATCTGAACTTTTAAGTCATGCCAACATTACCACTTTAGGATTCTTGTTTTTGTTTGTGAGGTTTGAATAATGGGATCTTGACTGTCAACTTTCATGTAAAGCATGATACCCTCTTACTTGGAAATACTTATTCAAATTAAACACTTGAATAAATTAAAAATTGGAGCTTCCTAAGATTTAAAATGGATTATCAGACTTAAGTCTGTTAAAAAAAGAGAAATGCCAACTTCTATTTCACAGAAACCATGTTTTTAAAATAAACAGCAAAGTGTTACTGTGTAACTGCTATTTCATATAATTCTAACCACCAACAGGGTGGAGCACCTTCTCCATTTGATAGAAACTTTGGAACCAAAATCTCTGCCAGAGCTATGGAGTGGATCACCGCGAAGCTCAAGGAGGCCCGGGGCAGAGGTATGGAGGCTGGGGAGGGAGGCCACAGCCCACCTCGTATCTGAGTGTTGCAGTAGGATCAGCTTGGTCCTGATGTGTTCTTTTGTGCAGGCTTTTTGCTTTTGCTCTGGAGATCCTGAACATTTGCCAGCAATTTTTCCTCTAGTCCTGGGGTTCGCGTCATAGTTGAAGTGGGGCTTTTTTTTGGATGTTTGGTAGGACAAGCTCCCTGTGAATCTATTCATTAAAACTTCCAGTTTTGGTTGAGGACGACTTAACTGCTGAATGAATTTTTCATGTTTATAGAACTATGCATGTTTTTTCTTGAATCAGTTTTATAAGTTACGTATTCTAAGAAATCTTCAAAAAACATGACATTTTGTTTTGTTTGAGACAAAGTCTTGGTCTGTTGCCCAGGCTGGAGTGCAGCTGCTCACTGCAACTGCTGCTTCCCAGGTTTGCGCAATTCTCCTGCCTCAGCCTAAGCAGCTGGAATTATAGGCGCCCACCAATACGCCTGGCTCATTTTTGTATTTTTAGTAGAGATGGGGTTTCACCATGTTGGCCAGGCTGGTCTTGAATCGACCTTAGGTGATCCGCCTGCCTCGGCCTCCCAATGCTGGGAGTACAGGCATGAGCCCCTGCGCCTGGCCCCCACTCGTTCCTGAGAATGGCTGTTTCTGCCAGCATCTTTCTCCCCCTCACCTCTCAGCATGCTTCATCAGTCATACCAGATGTGTGCTTTCATTAGGGCAAGCCATATCTTACTTCAGTGTCCACCTTAGGGAAATTGACAGTCTACAAAAAACAATGATGTGAAGAGTTTCATGTTGTCTTTTTGAAGAACTGACTCTGGCTTCAATTCTTTCTACATCAACTTCCACTTTTTGGATTTTCTTTTTTACAGATTTATCTATGGATGTTTCTGTGTATATTCATGAGCATAACTTTCTTAATGTTTTCCTGTAATTTAAGCTAATTTCCCTATTCCGCTATTCAGTGAAAAATGTATTTACCTCCACTGGGAGAAAAAACAAAAGCTCCTTTCCAGGAAGCCCTCTCTGGGGTGGCTGAAATACTAGTGAGGAGCAGGGAGGAAGCCATCAGGGCGGTCCCCTCTCCTCCCCCAGCCCTGCAAGAGCAGAGCTGCACAAACCCAGGGTGGACGCTGCGGGCTGGTGTCAGTCTCTCCTGGGTTTCCAGTCCACTTTCACAGCGTGGTTCTGAGGAATCTCAATTCTCATCTTGCCCCAAGATTCTGCTCCCCCACCTGCCCAGGTGATTGATAGGGTGTTATTAACATCTTTTTTTTTAAACTTTTATAGGAAAAAAATTTACCACCGATGATTCTGTTTGTGTGCTGGGAATAAGCAAAAGAAACGTCATTTTTCAACCTGTGGCAGAGCTGAAGAAGGAAACGGATTTTGAGTAAGTCCAGGTCTTAATGCCTTAGAGAACCCAACTGACCTGAGTGCAGGGCAGGGGAACGGCCGTCACTGTCAGCAACCCAGTCAGGGGTGTGAGAAAATGGCTTTTCTGAAGCTGAGTTAAATACTAGGTCTTTAGAAAGAGGGAAGAGTTTTTAGAAATATAAAAATGGTTTCATTTGACCTTGAAATCAGCTTTATCATCCAGTTGATTCTGCTGACCCTACAACCCCTGCCTTTCTGGTGAGACCGCGCAGGGCAGGCAGAGGCGTCTCCCAGGCACCTGCAGGCTCACTGCCGCCTCTGCTTCCCTCCCAGGCACAGGATTCCCAAAGAACAGTGGTGGCTGAAGCTGCGGCCCCTCATGAAGATCCTGGCCAAGTACAAGGCGAGCTACGACGTGTCGGACTCGGGCCAGCTGGAGCACGTGCAGCCCTGGAGCGTCTGACCGGGCCCTGCCTGCCTCTGCTGGCCGCACCACGGACCGTCCGTTTTTGTAACACTTAAGTTATTTATCAGCACTTTACTGCAAGTATTATTAATCCCTAATCAGTAAGCACCTGTCACTGCCCATGACCCCCTCAGAGCCAGTGCGTGCTGTCTGTGGACTGTGCCTCATGCTTCCAGATGTGCGTATTAGCAGAATTAAACGTTTGCCTACAACTCCAGCAGTCCTCCGTGTTTTTTAAGTAGGAGATTAAAAATTTTGCTCATCTTTGCCCACAAAACTGTAGCTGCCCGAAGACAGAGATTTTAAAGGGCTCACTGATCTATGCACAAGTCATAAAAGAACAAAGCTAGTAGTCTGACACATGGCGTTTCCATCCACAGCAGCAGGCCTCCACCCCAGGCTCCTGCACTCTTGAAAGTAAAATAAAACACAGGAAGCTTATCCACTCACCCTCTTGACTGCAATCCTAGTTGCGTATTAAAACCACCGAGGGAGGGTGGTGGTTTAAAAATCTGATAGCCAGCTTCTCCAGGCCACGCCACGGTCGTCACTGGAACCTGGGTTGGAACTCTAACTCTTGCCAGAGTAGACACAGCTGTTGGGGGGGACAGCCCCCCTCCTGTAGGGACAGCGTTACAGCGTTTCTGCCTCCTAGATCTAGTCTGCAATAGATGACAGCTATGTGGAGTAGATGCCAAAAACACACTGTTGGGGAAATCAGAACCCAAGGAAGAGCTGGCGCAGAGGCTTACCTTTCCGTGTCTGAGAAGACAGGGCGAGCACTTACCCCAACTCCCCTGCTCTTCAGGATGGTTTCCATCCGGCCGCCCCGCTGCACGCCCGTCTGTTAGGGGACGCTCCTGAGGTCCTCGGTGTGGCTGCGGTCCATAAATCAGCACAGGCAGGTGGGACAGCCTTGTGCAGCTTTTCACTTTACTCCTACATTTAATAAAGGCCCTAAATGCTACTTAAAATAATGATTCAAGCACCGTAAGTCAGAGTTGCCCTTTATTTTTAGATTCCTAAATAAATATTCTAGGGTTAATCAGGCAAAAGTCAGTCTTTCTGTCACCACAAAGCTAAAGTTCTACATGGCACATCTTTGCTGTTTCATGCATGATTATCAAGATAGATAAAGTTTTTATCTGACCTGCCAGTCAATGGCTTTGGCAAAATTTTAAGAATGACATCATATCCTTGGAAAAAGCAGTAACATTTCTGCCTTTTCCAGTTCGGCTCAGAGGCTCCTTTTCTCAACGCCTGTGTGTGTAGCACACCTGAGCTCCTGCGCCGTCAGAAGCTCCACGGCTGCTCAACTGATGATCCAGGATGGGTCCTTGGCGATTTTTGCATTCTCTGGTCCAAGTATGGCCAGGCCATGTGTGCTCTTTCCCGTGCCAAGGTACCTGAGAGGAAGGCGTGGTCAGCGTGTGAAAAGGCGCGCGCAGGCCTCAAATCCCAGGCGCCGTCTCTCCTGCTCCCCACTCACCTGTCGCTCACGGCCAGGAGCCTGTCACGGCTGACGGCAAAGAGCTGCTCCCTGTGGGCCTGCTTCATATCATCTGAGAGGCCGGACAGGAAGTAGTCCATTCCTAGAAGACAAAGCACAGGCACCATGACGCTGCCGCCCATGCGCTGTGGGCTGTGCACTCGGGTCCTGGAGGAGACGTGGACATCTCACTGTTACTTCATGTGAACGTATTTCAACCACGGGGACATATCTAACAGACCAGAGATCACACCCCCACCTCCAGCTCCCACAAGCCACGCTGACCCTACCAACGCCTGCTTCTGCAGCATGGACGAAGTCAGGGCCACATGAGGCTGATGATGCTGTCAGCAGAAGTGGCTCTACAGAGTAACGTGGCCATGCCCATGTACCCCTTCTACGCTAATGAGCCAGGACCCTGGCGTGGGTTGGCCCCACTGGGCCTCAGCTCAGTAAAACTGAAATGACTGGAGACACTTTTCTTGTTGGGAAGAGTGTTTCAAGCCCCACGTTTAGGGTGATAGACATGGAAATCATCACAAGCAGGGACACGGATGGCAGAAGCTGTTGCGCCTGCCCATGCATGTGGGGACTCCGAAAACGGCAATGCCATCTGTGAGGCTGTGGGCTGAGATTCTCGCTGTTACACCCAGAATACCTTTGTCAGAAGGAGCGACAGGAGCATCTACGGTCGAGAAGACAGAAAGTTTGGCTTCGTCGATGTCTTGCTGTGTGAATTTTCCCGACTTAGCCCAGTCAACAGCCTTCCCAAAAGACTGGAGTGTCTCCATTGTATTTGGGTCCCTAGGAAACCCAGAGAAATAAACAGTCAAGCACTTTACCAGAGGACAAGTTAATCACAACCATCTGTCAACAGTTGAACATCTGTGTGAACAGCTCTATGTTACACATTACAGTCCAAACAGCCCACTGACAAATCGCTTAATTACTCTCAATGGAAATTTAAATCCGATCACATAAGTCATTCAACACATTCTCCCTCTACTTAGACGAGGTCCATCTGCAGAACATTCTCCCCAGATTATTTAAATACACCCCTGTGACCTCATCAGGAGAGGAAAGTGGAGAGTCCAGGGTGGGGGCAGGTTGGGATTACAAAGAAATTACAGAAGACTCAAGTGGAAAAATTAAGCTAAGGTTGTCCTTTACTCTCCCTTAAGAAATACCCAGGATAGTCCAGGAATCAGCCTGAGGGGCCAATCCAGACTTCCGTCTGTGTAAGCGTTAAGAGTCCCACCCTCCCTCCACCCTGATTCAGAGCTGCAGAGGGGCTGTGTGCTACTTCCCCATTCTTGTCTAGAAGTGTGGCTTCCAGCACGGCAACACGGCAAGAGGGAGAGCTCCTTAGAGTGGCAATGGCTGCCTATCTGCCTGCATGTCTGCCTGCCTCATCTACCTATGCATCCAGGAGCCAGGGTCTCACTCTGTCGCCCAGCCTGGCATGCAGTGGTACATCTTGGCTCACTGTAGCTTCAATCTCCCTGGGCTCAAGTGATCCTCCTGCCTTAGCCTCCTGTGGCTAGAACCACAGACACTTGCCACCAAGGCTGCCTAGCTTCTTATAGTGTTAGAATACACCTTCTCTTGGGCAGGAGAGTCACAGAAAATCAGGAATTTATTGTTTTAGAGTAACGGTGTTATGTTTATGAAGCTAACAGAACAGCATCCACATTAGGCACCTAAAACTGAAATAAGAACGCTCTGACGCTATATCGCAGCCCCAACAACTAGGGCCTGTTCCAATACCTGGAGGGCAGGGCTGCATCCTCCTGAGACAGTGCTGAGTCCTATGGACACTATGGTTTTTATTTTTTTCTATATCTTTGTTAAAATTTACAAATTAAGTACAGCAAGGTATTAACAAAATTCAACAGTTATAATGTAATAAAAGGTATGGTGATGAGCTACTATTAACTAAAACAAGGGTTTTTTGAACATAAGCTCTTACCTGACAATGTATCTGACCTATACGGCTACTGATGACCCACAGGCAGGTAGTGTAGACAGTGTGAGATTTCATCCCACTGCTTCGAAGAATGGTGTGCCATTTAAAACTGAGGAAGTATTTATGTCTGGAATTTTCCATCTAACATGTCCAGACTGAGGGTAACTGTGGGCACGAAAGTGTGGAAAGCAAAACCATGGATGGAGGCACTACTGAGTTTTGCCGAAATATGCTGGTTACAGCATGCCCAGTTTGCTCAAGGAGAATGCTTCCTGTTTAGGCTGCTAGCCCTAATCCTTGTACCAGAAGGACATTGCTGCGTGTGGCTAAGTGCTCAACGAGCGAAAGGAAACAAACGGAACTTTTCTTTTTCTAAGGTTCAATGCAGTAGAAGAAAATGATAGATAATCCCAAGTAGAAGACTACAGATAAACCGATGTGTGCATCCAAGTATGTGGAACAGAGAAAACCTCACCTGTAAGAGTAAAAGGTGAAAATCCCATTGTGGCTGAGTTTTGCACCTCCAGCATAAGCACCACCTTTTTCTCGAATTTCTGTATGCAGAAACTTAGCAGTCATCAAACATGCAAGGATTTTAAGACTGAAATGAATGATTAGAAAATGTAAGTTAAAAACATGTCTGATAAAAAAGCATATGCAGTGAAATAATTATTGGAATAAGTGAAAATGAAAATAAACTCAATCTGTAAAGTAATGCCATATAAATTATGGTCCCATATTTTGGTCTTGTTTTTTACAAGATGGGGGTCTCGCTGTCTCCAGGCTGGAGTGCACTGGTGCAGTCACAGCTCACTGTAGCCTTGAACTCCTGGGCTCAAGGGATCCCTCCCCCCTCCCCAGCCTCCTGAGTAGCTGGGACTACAGGTGTATGCCACCAAGCCTGGCTATTTTTACGTATTTTGTAGAGGCAGGGTCTAGTTTTGTTGCCCAGTCTGGTCTCAAACTCCTGGCGTCAAGCAATCTTTCTGCCTTGAAAGTGCTGGGATTACAGGCAAGAGATTTTTTTTTAATTACCAACACTAAAAACCACAAGGAAGAACAATTTTCAAAGAGTTGGCTTAGATTACAGGGTTGAAGTGAGAGGTGGTGGGGAGGAAATCAACACTTCCAGCATCACACTGCTTCACTTGTTCCAATGTATACATGTCATTTTAAAATCTGATCAAGTAGAAAGCAGTTATTTCTACTGTAAAGGCAAATGTGCAAATGAACGTTTATTTAAATGCCTCACATTAGAATACGGAAAAAAAGGAAAGTTAAGTCAGAGTTTTGTAGGAATCCCTTAAGAAAACACACACACTCCACTAAAGCACATTTCTAGGAACGAAGCTGATTTCCTTTGCCTTCCACTGTGAATGGTAGTATCACACTCTAGATGACTCCAGAATGCATCCACCTTCGACAGAAGGCAGAGCCATGCCTGCCACTGCAGGGAAGTCAATGATGGTACCATCTGCAGTAGACACAGGCTCCCCAAAGATGCCCATGGCAAGATCAGCCCCAGGTCCCTGCTTCTACTACACCTTTTCCCAAAGCAGATGAAGGGGGTCAAATAGGCCAGGTGGGAAATGGAGGAAGGAGTGGGCGTGTTCCCAGCGGCTGTGGTAGAAGTCACAACCATCTAGCGTGGGTCCACCAGGAGAAACCCGACACCACTTGGGTGGCTGGGGCACCATCAGCTGAGAACAGCGAGGCTGGAGCCAGACCCTGGGGGAGGGAGCCCTGACGCACCAACAGGGACTGGCATTTCATCTGTCCATATGATACTCTTGAGAAGCTTCTATTACTTGTATATTACATTAAAACCACATGCTCATTGTTGAAAGACTACAAAATACCAGAAACCAGGAGAAAAACATCTATTAGCCTCTTCACAGTTTCCATGTTTTCGGTCTACATCTTCCTATTGGACGGCGCGAACAGGCATCACTATTCTGCTGGCACAGCAGACAGATATCTACCTTTTGCAAATATGGAAATAAACGGACAAAACAGCTGAGCCACTATCATCTTTTCTACAGATCTGAGAGCTCTTCTCTTTCTGGGCCCCCACTGCAGCCCCACGTTTCTTCCTGCCTGGCTCCTCCACCCCTCCTGTGACACACATGTACCCTGAAGGCCCAGCTCCTTCTCCAGTCAGGACAGGCTGCACAGGCCTAGCCTGCCTTCCCCCTCTACCAGGCTCCCTCTTTGGTTTAGGCCCTCATGGGGGTAGCTGCCTGGGACAAAGACATAGGAAGTGAATTTCCGGGATATAAGATGCTTGCACATATCTGTGTCACACTCACACACCCAATTGACGGGTCCCCAAAGGTGCACGTCTGTGAGTCTGTCTTCCCGGTCTAGTCAGTTTCCCCAGATGGGATGAACACAGACACGGGGCAGCCACAGTTCAGAAGGGCCTGGAGGGGCCAGTCTGTGGGCTACAAATTCGCTCACTTCATGCCACTTTGAGAGCAGACCTGACCCTGACACTCAGCTGTGGCTTCAGCCCTTCAACCAAGGGCCTCCTTCCCTGAGCTTCTGACTTGGTGGGGAGACGGGGGAGGTGTACTCCTTAGAGCAACTGTGAGCTGGCCTCCAGCCCCGCCAGCTGCAGCGCTCTGCAGCACCCCTGGTCTCTCCCCACTGCCCTGTCCCTCCGTGGCCCATGCCAGGCACACCCACCCACCCACAGTCATGATCATGAGGTTCTCTGGCAGCCCCCACAGTTGCCTCCCACTCTTTCCTCCGTGGCTTCCTGTCTTAACCTGCCTTTGCTCTCGTTCCATGCATCTGTCTTCATGAAGGCTTAATCTGCCATGTGGATCAGAAATCAGCCTAAATTCACTCAGTTTTTACCTAGAGATGAGGTGAGTACATGGGGCATTTTGAAAGGAGTCTGTGTTTAGGGTCACAGATGCCTGTTTTGTTTATAGGAATCCTCAAGAATAGAAACTGTTTATAAAGGTGACTGGCTCTAAAGCTGGGCCTTTGCTCACGAAGACTCTGCTGTTTAAGGAGGAGCGCTCAGAGACATGCAGCCCCCGGCCCAACACTCGAAGTTGGCGTGGACTTCCCACTAAAACACACCCTGCGAACTCCAACAGGCTTGACAAGCTGCTTCCATAAGGCTCAGGCCTGGGAGGGCCCGACCTCCACCCTCCTACCTGGCATGATCTGGGTCCGTGTAGGGGACAGTTCGGATGCATTCGCCCACGTAGTTCACTGGGAAGGGCATCAGGAAGTGGGTCTTCATCTGCCAGGGCTTGAAGGTGGGTTCCTGAGGGACAAGGTATAGTCAGAGGCTGTGCTGCCAGGCACCGCCCACAGCACTGGGACACAAGAGCAAGACACTGCAGTTATGTCACTTCACACAATTTCTCACTGCAAAACATCAAGTCCTCCAATTCTGACATGATGCTTTACTGTTCAATTAAAAACATTTCCCTCCACACCGTTTCTATCACAGCTGATGCTCTGGGAATGTGTTAAATCACTCTGCTCCACAAGGAACTGAATCAAACTGCATCAGCACCACGCTGAGGGAGGGGAAAAGAACTGTCAGGCTGCTCCACTGGTGTAGACTCAGCTCAGGAGCTATGTTCAAAGGAGGGTGAGCTGCCCAGGAGGAGACCACCCAGAGCAGCAGCCCTCACCTCCTCAGCACAGGAGGACGCACCCGCACCAGGGCCCTCACCTCCTCAGCACAGGAGGACGCACCCGCACCAGGGCCCTCACCTCCTCGGCACAGGAGGACACACCCGCCCCAGGGCCCTCACCTCCTCGGCACAGGGAGGACACGCCCGCACCAGGGCCTTCGCTCAGCACAATCAAAGAGAAAAACTCAGGGTGGCAATGACAAAGGACGCACTGAACTCACAACTCTAGGGACATGCCGGCCCCACAGACAGGCAAACGGAGGGACGATCACCATCAGCGGCAGACACAGCCGTGGAGGGATGCACCCGACCACTGGGAAGCCAGCTGGGCTGTGGTTCTTACCATGACCAGCTTCCTAATGATCTGGGAGCCGTTGCGAGCGTGGGCATCTCCATCAGAGCTGCTAGGCGCAGGTTTCTGAAAATCAAGTTCCCAAGAAAAATGAAAAATCCAAAACTCACCTGAAACAGGTAAGAAGGAACAGAGTTTACAGAATTCACAGAGCTAATAACAAGTGTTAGGGTGGATTTCAGTATTTTAAATAATAAATGCTATAAAGGAGAAAAATTTATCATTCATGGGTTACTATATGGAAAATTTTTTAAAAAGATAGAAAATAAAAATAGGCTGCGCACAGCGGCTCCTGTCAATGAGGTAGAAGGACTGCTTGAGTCCAGGGGTTTGAGACCAGCCTGGGCAACGCAGGGAGCCCCCATCTCAACAAAAACATTTAAAAATTAGCCAGTCATGGCGGTGCATGCCTGTGGCCCCAGCTACTTGGGAGGCCGAGGCTGGAGGATCACTTGAGCCCGGGAGGTCACCATGGCTAGGCTGCAGCTAGCTATAATGGCACCGCTGCACTCCAGCCTGGGTGAGAGTGAGGCCCTGTCTCAAAAAATTAAAAACTAAAGAAAGAAATAAAGAGAATAATGAAATAAATGAAGAAAATTTTAAAATGAATTTTCAGATGGTCAAGGAAAAGGTGGCCTTGTTATACGGTGCAAAGAAAATACTTTAAGCTTCTTTCCTCCTTCTGCACTTTCTAGTTAAAAATCTGTCAAATCAAGAGGACATGTAAAGGGGCAGGGAGACCACGCCCAGAAAAGAACCAGGGACACAGACACCAATGGAGAAGGCGTCAGAAACATCCTCTGCAAAATCTACACCGTCAGCCTCCCCCACTGACATCCGTGAACTAGATTACAACCCTTTGTAAATTAATCAGATTTATTAAATTAGTTATCACCGACATAACTGTTCTACAGACAAATTCATGGATTCATGAGTTAAAGAAATAGCAGTGAAGCAGCCTTCTTCAGGCCACGGTTTTGGGCCGTTCCTATGCCAGAGTAACCCAACTGAAGTCTTTCTTCCTGTCAGACTACTTGCTGCAAGGCACAGAGTGAGTCCAGAACCTAAGGCTACACCGCAGGGTCTGAACTCAACTGGGCCAACACTGGACTAGACACTTAATCCTCCTGAACCTCAGTCTCTTACGTGCGTAATGAGAGAGATGAACAACCACATGCTGGACTGTTCTGAGACCTGAGTTAATACACGTAAAACCCGAGAGCTGCCCCTGCCAGGCACGCACCAGGCGCCAGTGCCACCATCAGTGCATACCTCGACCACGTGTGGACGCACAGGCCTCCGTTCCTTCTTACTTCGACCAATGCTTCTAAGGAAGTTTTCTACCACTTTTTCTGTCTGAGCCATCTGCTGAGGAGTCGCATTCACTGAACACCTGTTTGAAAGTTATATGTACATAAAACCATCATTAGAAAAAATAGTTTTAGTAATTCATCACATTTTGTATAAATAATTCAAAAATAAAAATGTTTTTTATAAAAAATACTTTCAGGGCCGGGCGCGGTGGCTCAAGCCTGTAATCCCAGCACTGTGGGAGGCCGAGGCGGGTGGATCACGAGGTCAAGAGATCGAGACCATCCTGGTCAACATGGTGAAACCCCGTCTCTACTAAAACTACAAAAAATTAGCTGGGCATGGTGACGCGTGCCTGTAATCCCAGTGGCTCAGGAGGCTGGGGCAGGAGAATTGCCTGAACCCGGGAGGCGGAGGTTGCGGTGAGCCGAGATCGCGCCATTGCACTCCAGCCTGGGTAACAAGAGCGAAACTCCGTCTCAAAAAAAAAAAATAAATAAAAAAAAATAAAAAATAAAAAATAAAAAATACTTTCAAAGATGTTAAAAGAAACAGTAGCCAAATGTAGAAATAACACAGCCACCTTCCTGCTTTGCAGTGCTTCGAGTTACCAAGAAATTTCCACATAGTTCAGTGTGTCAGCTAATAAAACTGTCCAGACACAGACAGCCTGAGCCTCTAAAGTCATCTTCTTCCAAAGAGCAAAGAAAATACAGAGATTAAGATCTGCTAACTATGCCTTCAGAATTACACTATCGAAACACTGACAACTTTTAAAATTACTGTCCAACAGTCATCAATTTGAAAATCTGAACTGGTTTTTAAAGCAGAAAACCATAAAACGCAAAAAATTACCATGCTTTCAAAGTTACATGAAAATAGAACTTTTCCAAATTCTGCAGAATTGCAGATACTATCATATAAAATCTACCTGAACTCCACAGTATATGACAAAGTGTGTATTGTTTCCTTCTGGCTGTAAATCCTAAATGTATTCTAAAGTAACAGCAGGTACCATTATATCAATACTAACTATATCCCAGGTACGTATGCTACCTTGTAGATACTTTTCCTTTTATTCCTCACAATAAACCTGCAAAGGAAAGTTTTATGGAGGAGGAAGCAGAAGGCTCAGGTGGGTCAGCTGCCCAGGACCGCCTGGGTGCGAGGTGAGTGCTGGCCATGCACTGGAAGCCAGGCCTACCTGAGCCCAGCGCCCAGCGACCCCAACCACCAGGCCCCAGCTCTGGCCACCCACAGACCGCCCTGTACAATCTGCCAGGGATTCTCAAAACATGACTCGGGAAAGGCACCAGGACTCTCTAAAGAAGGACATGTTCTCAAGTACTGACGAATACCTCAATGTTACTGACAATAAGATGCTGAAAGTAAACAGTTCATCATGCTTCAACTTCAATCACGCTTACAAACCTGAGGGCATATCCTCGGAGCATCACGTGACTTTAGAAGAAACTGCACTTGTGCTCTGGTCCTGAGCAAGCCTACCTTCACAGATCTGCCGTTTACCAACCATTTGCTGTGGAAGCAATATAACTAAGTATTTGCCCTCAATCTATTTGCAGTTCTAGAACACAACTACCCTATGTTCTTTCCTATCTCCAACTTTTAATAAGCTTAAAATATTTTTTTCTTAGTTTACTAGAGCACTTGACTTCTACAATAAATTTTATAACCTATACCTCTACCAAGTACTCTATCTTGAAGTTCCTATAATAAGTGAAAAATACCTAAGAACTACACTTAATTATTTAAAAACAATCACAAACGTACCTCATATTATCACCATTTAATAGGTGCTTCTTAATACGAGGGAGCTTCCTCAGGATGGGTTTGATGTCTGTCATTTCTGCAATCCTCTTCATCAGTCGTACCTGAAACAGAGGAAGCTCACTCAGCCAGAGGCCACGAAAGACCACTCAGTGTGAGCCACGCACCCATGACATCAGAACCCTGTTTGAGCAGGGGTTATGTGTGTGAGTGTGTGGCTTGAGGGCTGGAACAGGGGTGCAGGAGTGGTATGAAGAGGAAGATGAGTTAAAACCAACCAACCAGGCCGGGCGCGGTGGCTCAAGCCTGTAATCCCAGCACTTTGGGAGGCCGAGGTGGGTGGATCATGAGGTCAAGAGATCGAGACCATCCTGGTCAACATGGTGAAACCCCGTCTCTACTAAAAATACAAAAATTCAGCTGGGCATGGTGGCGTGTGCCTGTAATCCCAGCTACTCAGGAGGCTGAGGCAGGAGAATTGCCTGAACCCAGGAGGCGGAGGTTGTGGTGAGCCAAGATCGCGCGCCATTGCACTCCAGCCTGGGTAACAAGAGCGAAACTCCGTCTCAAAAAAAAAAAAAAAAAACAAACAAACAAACAAACAAACAAACAAACAAAAAAACCCCAACCAACCAATTTTTCCCTATATTTGGTCAGTTAGAAAGTTAGCATTTGAGACATTAATGTATTCCCAAAGAAATCAGCAACTCTGGAACATGTGGCTAAACCAGAGTCGCACAGGTTCCTTCCAGGCTTCCCACCTGATCCATCCCACTGAAGGCCTCCCGCAGGTCCCCTGCGGGCGTGAGGGTCCTGCCAGCCCTGATGGATGCGTACAGGTGTCCAGAGTCGGGAATTCCATTGGCAAGCTCCTGGGCGGTCATCTTCACCAGCACTTTGAAGTGCTCTTCTTCTTCAAAGCACGGGCTATGAAAAAAGGCAAAGAATATATTCCTGGAGACCCGTTCATCATGCCCCTTCAATATCATGGACAATTTATTAAGAATAAGTTTTCAGACTATTTCACCAACCAAAGAAATTTTCTAAGTCCATATGAATAACAAGTAAAACCACTTGGAAGTCAACAACCAATACAAGTAAAATTGTCTACTTTAAAGTATTTCAAACGAAGATGTCTGGAACAGCCCAAGAATGGACAACTCTTCAAATGCAGTTACTTGTTAAATATTTCACTCCATAGATGCATCATGTCTGGCAAGTTTCGATCCAGGCAGAGAGAGGAGAAAAGCACACCCTGAAACACAGAAAACACAGCGGAGGAATGGAATTAGGGGCGAACTGCACAGTAACAGAAAGCCACTGGAGAAAAACTTCACCACAGCCGTCATCTGACAGTGACAGGCTACCTGCTCGTAGGTGTCCATGTGTGAGTCGTCGGGGAGCACGTGGGGAGCAGCACTCATCCCTCCAGTCTTCAGTTCGATCTGCTGAGCCTGCTCCCGGTAGTCAAGAAGGCCGCAGCCCAGCCTGACAGAGGAGAGACGCATCGCGCCGATTACAAGGAAATCTTGACAGAATCATTTTTAAAACTGTGAATCTTTAAATACAAGTTGCTTACATTAATTCAATAACTACAGCTCTCCCAACCTCTTTACACTTCGAAGGTCATAAAGCAGGAACACACTCTGGCCTTTGCCCTCAGGAGTTCACGTGCTCTCTCCCAGGGAGACACCAGCTTCTCATGCCTAAGAAGTCAGTGTCCAGGGGCACAAGACACTTTGGGAGGCCTGTTTCTGCACTCAAAACAGCATTCTAAAATATGCATTTCCAGGCGTGATCGTCTAAGTAAATGTTTCATGAATACCCCCTACTCTCTTCGCCCACTCCCTGTGATACAAACTTCCTTCTCTCAAATGTCTGGTAGCCTAGCAGGGGAGTCCAAAGACTACACACTAAGTTTTTAAGAAAAGCATCTTCATCTCAGCACTCATGCTTCTAGTGATACTGCTAATGCCAGAAGTCATTAACTTAGTCAAGGAACAACTGTAAGTGTTTTCTAAGGTGCTGCGAAAGGATGAGCAGTGGCCCTCTATTTAAAAAGAAAGCCGGGGGCCTTTCAAAACCCTGAAGACACTTTCCATCTGAGCAGATCCTCAACCAGGGTGCAGAAGGCATCACAGCCAGGTAGCTTTCTGCAGCATGAGGACAACTTCACTGTCACGAAGCGAAGACGCCGGATGCTCGCCAGGTTGGGCAACGGCCCCCGAAGCTGGCTGTAGGGTTCCCTGTCACCTGATTTTCCTGGATAGGAACGGACGCCCACAGCCCTGTCTACTGCTTGTCCTGCAACCCTCAAGTTGGCAGGGCAGGGCAAAAGGACAAGTGGTGATGTGTGCACTCGGGTGTGTGTTTCCAGATCTGTGCACACACCACCTTGGGAGGACGCCAGCAATGCAGTCAGCTCGGAAGAGCAACGCAGACAGCAGGACATCCATCTGTCCCCAAGGCAGCCTCGGGCCACACTGCACACTGAACTACCCAAACTTTCAGATTAAACAATCATTCCTTGCCAAAGCGTAACAGATTAGTATGCTGAGACAGAGATCTATAAGCATCTCCTTATATTATGCCGGGGATTCATAAATATTTCAATGTACTATAGTAAGAAAATGTTACTTTCATAAAAACAAATTCTAAACCAGCATACTGTACACTTTACTTACACATTAACACTGTTAAGTAGTGACTCACTGAAGGTAATTCCTACTGATGCATTACAACAATAGAGATATGCACACAAAGCAGATATTAGTAAGACACAAGGGCATGCTGCAACTCGTACTTGGTGAGGACGCTGCAGAAGAGGGGCACGTAGGGCCTCAGCTCCTCGGGGAGGGTGTTCAGGCTGCAGAAGGCCCGGAAATACACCACGCCATTGGTGGGCTGAGAGCAGTACTGAACAGGGATATCTCCAGCTAGGAAAACAAAAAGGATTTAATGTTTACTGCTGCCAGTATAATTTTAACCATATTTAATATTTAAAAAACAATGCTACTGCTTTTCAAGAATGGAAATTCAAGACTTAGAGTTTATATAAATTTCCCTGTTGCATTTTCATGATTACATCCGGAATTGTCTTCAATAGTAGAGCAACCTGCGCTCTCCGAGGAATGGGAAAGGAAGGACAGAGCCACGGCCTGCTGGTCTCATAACTGTGAGTTCCAGCAGGTGCGCCCGCCTCTCTCCACCCCACCTTCCTTACCCAACCTCTCCCCAACAACCACAGAGAACTCCAACCAGGTCCCCCCGATGGCCCCTGGGCCCACATCACACCCGTCCTCAGCACTGCTCATCTTCCCCAACAGGCCCTGCCACCCGAGGGCTCCAAACAAGGCTCCTGGTGCCCCCACCCCCCACTCCTCCTGACCTCTTGAGGGAAGGGCTGAGCATTCAGCTTTGTATGTTCCTACCTAGCAGAGCGCCCCAGACCAGCAGAGACACCAAGGCATGAACGGATGTCTCATTTACTGTCACTCATTGTTTTAGTGAACACTTAATGAGACTCAGGACATAAAAACTGCAGGGGTTAATAGATCAGAGGGATGTTTGCCTCGATTCTCACAAGTGCACACACACGCAAAAAGAAATCAGACAGAAGCACGGTGAGTGCCGCCGGAAGATAAAAATGGGTTGGAGACGCTTCACAGGACACAGGAATGCCCAGGGTGAAATCTCATCCCCATCTTTGAGATGCAAGTGACAGCCATGCTCCCCTCAGCTCAGTAACACCTGGCCACACCCACTGGCAAGCTCAGCATCAACACCGTCCCAGGTAAGGTTACCCTATAGATGCCTCTCCTGCTACAAGCCAGGAGCCAGAGAAAGGAGGTGCCCTGAGAACTCAAAAGCAGTGACAGACACGGGGCAAAAATTACCATGAATGAAACGCACCACAGCAAGAAATGCCAGGACGAGGCAGGGGGTGCACCTGGCCTCCGAATCCCTTTCAGCTCCACGCCCACTCTCTCGAGGCGCTCTTGCCCCCCGACTTCCTCTCTATGTGGACGGCAGGGTGAACAGTTGGGACAAGGGGCTCTGAGGATGCCTCTATTTTTAAAACTGCACTTAATACAGTCACAGCATAACCCAAATCCTCATGATTCTAGAAGCAGCAAATCAGAGCGCCCTATCAAACCCACTCTCAGAAACACACACATAGGCTCTTACTGAGTGACGGAGTCTATGGCCACTGAGAATTAGAAACTAGGTATAAGACATGCTGAGGCCAAGACTATGAGTGAGCAGGGAGCACCTCCAAGATGTGACTCTACTGCTGCTGTGAGGAGTGACATTTCACTCCACAAAGGAACCCCAGCCCCCATGAAAAGCAGTGTTCCCAAGGACCTGTCAGGACCACGTCCAGCTCCGTGGCAGGTATGGTGGGCTCGATATCCGAAACTTTCAACGCTGGCAGGCAAGAGGCATCTTGAGGTTTGCTTTGCCGCGTCCGTAATTCTAAACCTAAAAAAGAAACAAGAAAAAGGAATATTCAGGACCATAATGAAAAGGGCTGATGCAGTTTATCCCCTCTCTGCGTTATTTTACATCCAGAATGAGCCGTCCATGCCAAGTGTGGGGAGTAAGTGAGCACTGTGGTTTGCAAAGCACCTCCTATTTCCAGGCTGACCAATCTGAGAGGCACTAATAACCTGCTTGGCGGGTAGCCCTCTCCCGAACTCGCATTCTTCTACTGCGGAACAATTCCATCAGGGAGCGGTGGTTTGCTCAAGCTGCTTCCCCTGTACCCCTCTCCAGAGTTTACATTAAATAGATTCAACTTGTTTTTAGAGTTTTCAAACCATTTCTTGATGGACTGAAATTTAGTGATCTTTATACTTATTTCCTTTTTGTTTTGAGACCGGGTCTGGCTCTGTCACCCAGGCTGGAGTGCAGTGGCATCATCTCGGCTCAATGCAGACTCTGCCTCCCGGGCTCAAGTGATCCTCCCGCCTCAGACTCCTGAATGAACGGCTGGGACCACAGGGCACACCACCTTACTTGGCTAATTTATGGTTTTATTTTTTGGTGTTTTTTTTTTTTTTTTAGAGATGAGGTTTTGCCATGTTGCCAAGGCTACTCTCGAACTCCTGGACTCAAGTGATCCTCCCACCTCGGCTCTCAAAGTGCTGGGATTTCGGGCATGAGCCACGGCACCTGGCCCCATACTTGTTTTCTATTGTTTCATTTTCACGAATTTCAACAAAAGACTTATAGGATCGCATACATCACACAAATTACAGGGGTGCTTAGAAAGACACTTCCTGGGCCTGACAGCCCATTCATCAATGAGGGAGGCAGCTCCTTCACGGGGGATGCCACTTAGCCACAGCCTACGAGGAGGAGCCACAAGACCCAGGCGTGGTCTCAGCCCTGATGGCCGTCAGTAGAATGGCTTCCCAGTGCAACACCGTGCCAAGCAGATACACAAATGCATTATTCCACGACTCGCAGGGAGGGCTGTGCTGAGTTCCTGCTTTAACTCACAGTCCCACAGAGAACACTCCTGGTGTCTGCTGGGCTGACTCCCCCATGTTCCACTGCCACTTTCTGAAGTTCCCTGAGGGCGTGCTGAGCACTTAGAGAACGAGCCTTGGGGCACAGTGAGCAACTCAGCGGTGTTGTGCTCCACAGGTGCCCCACCGCAGGCTCCAGCTCTTCCGCCCACCTCTGGAGCTGCAACTGCCATCACCACCCCTGCTCCCGACAGCACAGAGCTCAGACTTTCTGGGCTTTGCAGGCCTTCCCCCTCCTGTTCACCATCTAACATCCTGAGTTTCCGCTTGGAGGTTTTCTAATCTATGGCTAGGCCACAAAGCTCCCTCCTCCCTCTTCTGTGACCTGGCTTCCCCCGGGGTCCTTGGGCCCACCTGCGCTAAAAGACGCTGCAGCTACCCTGACGCCCCAGTGCTCCTTCTCTGAACGCACTCACGGTCGGTGGGAAAAGCCTCCGACACGTCCTCTTTTTCCTTGCAGCACATCACACACTCCCTGATGGCGGAGGCTTCACCCCTTCACAGGGCTTAAGACACACACTGAAGTACACAGTTTCCCATTCACCTTTCCTGCACTGCTGTCCTCTACTGACTGGCTTTTAATTCGGAATCCTAACACTGCCATGCACACTTTAAGACTTACTAACCTGAAATAACCATTAAATGCACCAGCACTGTGTCCTCCTTTAAAGGACCTCTGGCGTGAATGTGCAAAGGGAAAATCTGCAGTATGAGCACTGCTCACTCACCTACTGGGCTGGACTGTAATATGCTGGGTTTTCTTAAAGCTCACCTCTGAGGCCAGGCCATGAATAGGAAGTAATTTAGGAAACGTACAATCTGCTGCCTATTCATGGATTTATCACGTGTGCTCACAAACAACTTCAATTAATAGTGGGAAGATTGGAGCTTGTCAATTATCACAAAACAGAGTTCAATAAGGGGGAAAAAGACTTTAAGGTTAAAAAAAAAAAACAACAGAGCTTAAAATAGTTGTCTCTAAACAAGAATTCAAATGCAAAGAACAGGTTACAAATTGACATTAATTTTTCTTTTACTGCATTATGTCACTTCAAAATTGGCAAGATCAAAATGGAATCACTTATCTTCTACCTAACGTCCACTCTTACCTCCTGACAAGCCTGACAATTTCTCACAGAACCCCAATCCAACGAGCTTTTTTGGCAGGAAAAGTGCATGTGTGTATGTGTTGCATATATTTTTAAAAGGCGTTATTAATACGTAACCTACAAGCATTAATATTCACAATTGTAAACCTGTAATTCAGTGAGTTCTGACAAACGTGGCAAGTTATGAAGCTACCACATCAGAGTGCCGAGCCTGTGTGGCACCCCCCAAACTCTCCCACACTCCACAGTCAACCACATCCCGACTCCAGGCCTCAGCAACTTCTCAAGTCTCTGTCCCTGAGGCCTGGCCACGTCCAAGGCTTCCCGTAGTCAGTATGTCATCTTGCGCCTGGCTCACTTCCCTTTGCGGAAAGCTTTCAAGAGGCACCAGCACCAAGTGTGCATCACTGCTGTGTTCCTTTGCAGCAAGTGGCGTTTCTTTCTAAGGACGCACATGTTGATGGAAATCTGAGTTGTTTCAAGTTTTGTGCGGACACGTTTTCATTTCTCGTGAAGGAATGTCAGGAGTAGGGCTTCCTGGGTCCAGCGCGTTGCCCGGCACTGTGGAAGGAGCGTTGGGAGCAGGGCTTCTGGGCTCATGCGTGTTGGTGGGCACTGAGAGAACTGTGACGCTGTTTCCTAGGTGGCCACACCAATTTGGTTCCTTTGGCAGCATGTGAGGGATCCCCTGCCTCTCAGGATTGACAATATTTGGTGCTGGCAATATTTTTTTAAATGCTAGTCATTCTAGTAGGTGTAAACGATCTATCACCGTAGTTTAAATCTGCATTTTTCTAAGAATTATGATATATTTCCCTAAGTAATGAGATTATTTTCCATGTAATGATTTATGTGCCTATTTGCCATTAGGATCTCTTAGGTGGTATCTGTCAAAATCTTTTGCCCATGTTTTAACTGGGTTGTGTGTTCTCATTACTGAATTGTTTGTTTTTCATATATTCTAAATATAGTCCCTTATCAGACACCACTTTTGCAAATGTTTCTTCCCAAGGGCAGAACTACCTCTGAGATCCACGTGGCCCCTGCTCTCCTGCGGCGTCCTGCCTGCCTTAGCTCTGCCCGGCCACTCCCCCAGCTGCCGCCAACCCCACTCTCACTTTTCTCTTCACTCCAACCACCCCGGCCGAGGTCGTCACGTTGTGCTTAGGTTTCCAATTGCCTCTCAGAAGTTTTTGCTATTCAATTTCTCAATTTTTCTTCAAAACTATCCTGAATGAGGCTGTTGTTACACTGCTAATGGCAGTTCTCCTATCTCAATACATGAAGCACCAGCATACTCCCCATCCTCCACTCAGGCCCTCCCCAGGGCCTCTGGGCGGCCTGTCTCCCCCATACATGCTGTGCTCCCTCCATGCCCACCGCTCCACATTCCGAGTGGGCACACCATCCCCATGTGCCCCACGCCTGTCCCACAGAATCCTGCTGCTGCTTCGTGGCTGGCACACACGCTCTGTGCCTGAGACAGGCCTCTTCCAACATACAGCTCTCACTGTCCACACTGCACACAGGCCATGCCTTCTACACCAGGGACAGGCCTCTCCCAACACACAGCTCTCACTGTCCGCACTGCACACAGGCCACGCCTTTTTTTTTTTTGAGACGGAGTTTCGCTCGTTACCCAGGCTGGAGTGCAATGGCGCGATCTCAGCTCACCGCAACCTCCGCCTCCCGGGTTCAGGCAATTCTCCTGCCCCAGCCTCCTGAGTGGCTGGGATTACAGGCACGCGCCACCATGCCCAGCTAATTTTTTGTATTTTTAGTAGAGACGGGGTTTCACCATGTTGACCAGGATGGTCTCGATCTCTTGACCTCGTGATCCACCCGCCTCGGCCTCCCACAGTGCTGGGATTACAGGCTTGAGCCACCGCGCCCGGCCTACAGGCCACAGCTTCTATACCAGGGACAGGCCTCTACCAACACACAGCTCTCACTGTCCACACTGCACACAGGCCACGCCCTCTACACCACGGACAGGCCTCTTCCAACACACAGCACCTGATAAATAAAAAGTATTTACAAAATATGTAAAATAAATACGTCTTTTCAAGCTATTTCTTTTCAGTTATTCTTGCCTTTCCTACTGAACTATAAGGACGATTTTCTGAGACTATCTGAACCCACTGCATTGAATGTGAGCTCTGTCAGTGCCCAGTGGACATCTACTGGTTGAAATAATACTTGCCTCCAACTATTAACTCACTAGCAAGTCCACCAGGCCCAAGTGCAGGTTAGGGAGCTGCACGGCTCAGAAGGAAGCCTCTGACCTTTCTCGTGGACCTGCTGCCTGTCTCTGGGGGACAGGGCCTCAACCTTCTGCTTGAGCTTCGTGGCCTCCAGCTGAGCTTGCTTCTCGCGATACTTGTCATCCGGCCTCATTGATAAAGTCAGCTTATGCTGATTATTCTGCAGCAATCACAGGGACAACAGAAGCCAAGTGAAAACCAGGTCTTACAGGAACCTCACGCTGAGCGAGCCTCTGCTGGTATGCTCTTGGTCCTGGAGTTCTGCCTACCACTTTAAAAACCGCAATCGTAGAACATACCGCTAAAGCTGATTTGCTGATGAAGGTACGCAGCCGTTAGTGCTTCCCACCACACCTGCCTAAGTGGTAGGTACAGGATTCACATATGCTGTTACTCTATTAGGGTTATTTTAATTATTATGGTCATTAGGTCTTAACCATATCAATACTAAACATTTTCATGACACTTTAGTTGTAAAAAGGTTTGCACTTTTAAGTACCACAGATCTTGGATTTTAGTCGAAATTGAAAATAATATAGAATTCTAATTTATTTTTTTGTCTAGTGTTCATTCTACTATGAACTTCTAAAAGGCTAGAACTACATTTCCCATTCAATACTTTATAAATTATTAGAACAAAATAGATGTTGATGTAATATAAAAATAAATGTTAGGTGTTTTCATGCACTTCCCCTATTTCAACAATTAAAAAATTACACATGCACAAAATGCTCCCATATGAAACACTACAAACAGAGGTGAGAGGACTAGAAGACATCAGGAAGTTTATGTCAAATCACAGCAGCTGCGAGAAACTGCAGGTCAAGTTACTGAATCACGTCTCTTGTCTAAAACAATGGAACCCACTGGAGAGTTCCCTTCAAAGCAGACAACAGTCTCTCTCACCAAAGTTCTACCACCTTAATGAGTACAAAGCGAGGAATATGCATCCAAGCACAACTGCCTAAATATCTGAGAAAACAAACATAAGCCTCAAAAGAATTCACTCATGAAAACCAGAATATTTGTTACAATTGAGTGACTGTCCTCGTACTTTACATTCTTTTACTAATAAGAGAATATACGCAGATGTTTTATTCATACCCACACACAAACATGCATATATTCACGTATTAAAAATACACATGGGCCGGGCGCGGTGGCTCAAGCCTGTAATCCCAGCACTTTGGGAGGCCGAGGCGGGTGGATCGCGAGGTCAAGAGATCGAGACCATCCTGGTCAACATGGTGAAACCCCGTCTCAACTAAAAAAATACAAAAAATTAGCTGGGCATGGTGGCACGTGCCTGTAATCCCAGCTACTCAGGAGGCTGAGGTAGGAGAAATGCCTGAACCCGGGAGGCGGAGGAGGTTGCGGTGAGCCGAGATCGCGCCATTGCACTCCAGCCTGGGTAACAAGAGTGAAACTCCGTCTCAAAAAAAAAAAAAAAAAAAAAAAAAAAAAAAAATACACATGTACGTTCATCTAAAAAAAAGTACTAACTTACACTAAAATCTGGAAAATAATTTTTTAAGTTAATGTAAGCATTTATTATTATGATTTTTGAGATGGAGTGTCACTCTTATTGCCCAGGCTAGAGTGCAATGGCATGATCTCGGCTCATTGCAACCTCTGTCTTCCGGGTTCAAGTCCTGCCTCAGCCTCCCGAGTAGCTGGGATTACAGGCATGTGCTACCACACCTAGCTAATTTGTATTTTAGTAAAGACGGGCTATCTCCATGTTGGTCAGGCTGGTCTCGAACTCCCGACCTCAGGTGATCCGCCCACCTTGGCCTCCCAAAGTGCTGGGATTACAAAGTGCTATGTCATGAGCCACAGTGCCCAGCAGCAATTAAATTTTTAATTAGAAATTAAGTCACCCATTAACAGAAATTACTTAAATGTATAGATTACATTCTTAAAATTCCTTTCATTAGTATAAAATTTAACTTCAAAATTAAAGAAATGAACTCTCCAATTTTCTTACCTTAAAATACTGTTTTACTTTTTCTTCTAAAAATTTTGGATTTTCCTGCAGGCACTGTCTGAATTTAGCCAACTGATTTCCCAACTTCAAGAGCTCCACAGGGTCCCCATCGTGGTTCCAGCAAGAAGCTACGTACTGAAAGGAAGAATTCCACATCCACAACGCAGCTGGTACCAAAAACATGGTACGACCTCCAAAAGTTGCCAAGACTTGATTGTTTATAACAGAAGTCATGTAATTCTTTGGTTGGAGAAACAAAAATAACTTCTTTTATCCCCATTTTATTCTAATAAAATAAAAAGCCCTGGTTGAAATTATTTTTAGGAAATAACAGAGTACCAGTTATCATAAATCCTAACCCATTTAAAGTAATCTATTTCACATAAAAATATCAAAAAGCCAATTAAGCTAGTAACAAGACAAAAAGTCTATTATAAAAGTTTATATTCGATCAAAAAAGTATAACTTTCAAGGTTCAAATAAAGCGTTATCAGTATCCATCTATATTTTCAGTCCTAATCAAGATTAGCAAAGCCAAAAAACAAAAGCAAAGTGGTTGAGAAATGACTTACTGATGTCAGAGTCAGTCCAAAGCTGGTAGACTGATGTTTCATCTGTATTTCAATTTTATGAAGTGAAGCTTCAATTCGTTCATCTTCAAATCCTTTCCTAAAGAATACAATAAAGAACAAAGATGGGTCAGACACAATAGCTCATGCCTATAATCCCAGAACTTTGGGAGGCCAAGGCAGGAGGACTACTTGAACCTAGGAGTTTAAGACCAGCCTGAGCAACATAGAGAAACCCCTTATCTACTGAAAATACAAAAGTCAGCTGGGTGTGGTGGTGTACACCCCTAGTCCCAGTTAGGAGGCTAAGGTGGGAGGATCGCCTGAAGCTCGCAGGCGAGGAAATTAGTGAGCCAAGATCACGTCACTGCACACCAGCCTACGGGACAGAGTGAGACCCTGTCTCAAAACAAAACAAAAACCTAAGATGTTGCAAAGAAATAAAAGTTTTAGAAACAGATGGTAGCAGAGATAATATTTAAACAACTAAATATGAACAAATGCATGCTATATGACAGAGGCGGAAGGCCAAAACAATGGATCAGGCTCAGCTCCTCCCAAAAAGCAGGCAGGAATGAGGAACGAAAGCAGATTGTTACAAACAAGACACACTCAATGACTTCATCAATCGTTCTGTCTACTAGGCTTCTGACAGTCTCAATGTCTTCCTCTGCAATCCCCTGGAGGCCGACGCTGAAGTAGGCCTCCCTCGTGTAGCCATTGTACCTAGAAGACAAAACCAGAAATGATGCACTAGAATCCGGGCACATCCATCATGCCCTCGTAATACGCTTCATTTAAAGATCAGAACACAGAGCTTTCAACTCCAAGACTCCACCAAAAAGTGCATTAAAGCAATGTTCTCGAGTAATTGGTTCCGTGTACATTCGTGTCGTTTTATATCTTTTTCAAAAAATAAAATTTAAACTTATGAGTTATGGCAAAATACATCTTAAAACTGAGAACGACTGAGTTTTATAAAATTTTTAAAGTTTCTAATACTTAATAGCACGACCTTTAAGTGAGAACAGTATGGCATTCTGAGGCCCTGGAGAAGCTGTCTCTGTGCTGGGTGTCTTTTGGACAAATGCCTGCTTAAGGGACATAAAGGGGTGTCTTCTTTTGGACAAATGCCTGCTTAAGGGACATAAATGGCTGGCATGGGATGTAGATCTTATCCAGAGCTCTCTGCTGTGGTGGCCATTCTATGCACCATGAGACACTCAGCAGTTTCCTGGTCCCCCATCCTCCAACTGTAACAATCCAAAACCCAAAAATGTATGTTCCAGACATTGTCAAGTGCCAGGCGGGGACAGGGTGTGGAGGTGGAGGAGCAAAACTGCCCCCAACCAATGAGAACTACTAATTTAATCTAATCATAAACTCACCCAACATCCGGAGAAAAGTCTGTGCCAAGGCCAGATTCAATCAAGGCTTTGTAAAAGGGAGAATTGGGTCCAGAAATCAAGAGTGAAGACAGAAGACTTAATGTGAAGGCCTCAAATGTGTTGGTGATGCTGCATTGAAAACAAAAAGGAAGGGAGTAGGGGAGAAACACAGCAAAGGGAAAATTCTTGGCCTTACGCACATTTTATTTAAAATCACTATATACCTGTCTAGAAATTCTTGCATTTCAACATTTATTTTAACAACGATATGAGCAAAAGAGAATTTCTCTTAAATACTGGGATATTTTTTGAAATGGGGGCCTAAACCATAAAATTAACTTCACTGTACATGAAATGCTCATCACCAGACAGCCTAACAAGCACTTTTCACACATGATTTAAATGAAAGGCACAGCAGCACCGCCATTAAGGAGACAAGGAACAAACCAGCAAAGGTCACAGGCACAGAGCTGCAGGCTGAGCACGGAAAGGTCAAGCTTTCCCTTGACCTTTCAAGGAAGCCCAAACCTCCCTTCCCGCACACCCCCGGGGCCCAGGCCTCCCTTCC